GGAAAGTGAGAAGACAAGCGCGAGCTCTATACATAGGCTGCTGGGTGCCGCCAAACGGCTATTTTTCGCTCGCTCGTGTGGTCGGTAAACTCCAACGGATGGATTAGTTACCATAGATTGGTAACGTAGGTTGGCCTACTTGTATTTAGCATATGACAGACGACTTTGGTATCAGATTTCATTTGCCTAACCGGGCTTGAGCACTCATCATGGGCCTCAGATTTTATATTCTTAAAAAGAAGCAGTATACGTTAACCCAAAAAAAAGTAACAAAATACAAAGAAGTGATCAATCTATTTCCTAAATTATTCAATATTTCTTAACATTATACAAATAAACACTCAGTAGAAGTGACTTAGATACATAGTGGTTAAGGCGCACCTAATGTGTGTGCTACTAATAAAAAGATATTAAAAATAATTAGCATTATTTTTATTGAAAAATAGTAATTTAAATAATTACAGTGCCGTAGTATTTTAAAAAAATGATAGTTTTTGTTAGATAACTGATAGTTAGTTCAGTAGATCTAGAACAGTCATAGGGAGATGAGTAGTTAAAATGATGCAATTTTCTTTAGAAGTAAGGGTTGTGAGAGCTCGAAAATTTCATGTCTTATTTAAAAATTAGAGCATGTTACATTTTTCGTTTTGTTATTGATTGATTCACATGTTTATTGCTTCTTTTAATAAACAAATTACTCGATACACCTTAAGAGGAATTGTACCCTTTACACCATAAAACATTAGTATTAGTTAGAATCTGTTGTGGTATTAGAAAAAAAAAACCCGGAATACATTTGTCCTAATGCATATAAATGTCTAACGTACTTTAGAAAATTTAACAAATAATCTAATAAATTTACAAACATCTCAGGGGCCAAGGGTGAATCGAAAGAGGGACCGAGCACCGAGGAGTGAATTTCAACTACTTTGGATGAGTGATCTACATGTGTGTGTTTAAATTGCCTATGTGCCACTTAAACGATAGTTATATGATTATGCTAGTGTTTTATTGGGAAGTGTTTTCAATTGTCCCTCGCCTTCTAAGTCGGGAGCGTACTTTATCGTACTCAATTTAGTTTGAGATTGAAGGTTAATAATTGACCAAGTGTTATTGTAAGTATGCATGACTGCAAGCCGTGTACGTACTTCATCGTACCGGTTGAATTGGACCCCAAAATTCTTTGTCCAATGGACTATTCGAGCTAGTAAAAAGGTTTGGTCGGATAGGACAGTAGTTTTGGATAAGTGTTTTGGTATACTCGAATGTTAACACAGAGTAGTAGATTACTGAACTGATATGACCATTTAAGTGAGAGAAGTGTTTACTATTTTGGAGGTTATAAGGATAAGTTCGATGGAGTGTGTAGTATATTGAAGTGACTCTAATGCAAATACCATATCTTTTTAAAAGTAATTGTTTAGTGAAATGTTCTTTACTTTATTCAGTGAAGTGTTCTTTTCTTATTTAATTTTGATTATGTGTTAAGTATTTGATTATTATTGCTTGTTTGGGAAACCTCAATACGTTGTGCTCAATCCATTAGTTTGTTTTCCTTTCAAGAGAGGAAGACGAGAATAGGGAGTAGCCAAGAGTTAAGCTAAGACCCAAAATTTTACTTGAAAGATTCCTTTTGTATTTAGTGAGATGATTGAACAACTTGTATTTTGATCCATTTAATTGTACATATAAGTATGAATTATTTGAAAGATTGGATGGTTGTAAAGTTTAGTTGTGATGTTTTAATACTTACCATGGAGTTAATGCTATTGATTGAAAGATTTTGAGTGAGTCCTGACGATAGTTAGGCAAGTGGTCCACTAAAGTTTAGGGTATGCCCTAGGGTCTGACTGGATCATCACAAGTGGTATCAGAACAATCTCATGTGGTCTCTGCGCGAGATGAATTTGGGTCAATAAGGGACTAAGTGGTCTTATTGAGTGTAAGTAAGGACAGGATTATTGAACCATGAATGTTAGTATATTAAGTATAAAAATTTTATCATGATACTCGAGGAAATTAGAATTGTATATCGGGTAGGAATTCCAAATATGGTTGATTTACTCTTGGGACCGACCGACTTGACTTGTGAATTATTCTATTTTCGATTCTTGTACCCAAATATCAAATATTTCATTCAATGGTGTATTTACAAATTGGGAAAGATTTAGTATATTGCCTTATGATATGATTAAAAATTACGATTGAATTTGGGAAAGTAGAACCAAAGAGACCAAGGTTAGCTTTTGAGAGCTAAATGTGAAGAAACAGTAGTGAGATTTTGAAGATTTGTGCAAATTCTACATTTTAAGATAAATAATTTTACTAGTCCTTCAATGATAAATGGATTATATGCCATCTCTTGCCTAAAAATATTATTTCACATCTGAAATTTGAGTGAAATAACAGTTTAAATAAGGACTATGCGGCTGTGAATAGCTTTAAATTGTGAGGAGAGTTTTTAACTTGAGGTGAGATAAGTTTGACAAATCTGCCATGTGATTAGTATGCTACCATTTGCGATGAAATTATACGTGAGTTCTCGATGAAATTTGAGGAGAGGTTTAATTATACGTGAGTTCTCAATGAAATTGTGACTCCTTAAAATTGATTAGAGGATTATTGGAGTTAATGTCCAATAAAATAAAATACCAAGTGGTTAAGTTATTAGAGGACCCAATGTATGAAATGTTTGAATTCATTTAGAATACTTAAGAGTCATTGATATATTTAGGTAATGATTATACCATTTGATTTGGTATTCGGACGTAGTAGATCTAGAATTTACTCAAGAATTTTTTATTAGTCTTACTGATGAGGTAATTGGACATGTGAATACATTTGAAGATATTATCATTTTGACTATTTTGAGATTCAATGATACATTGTTGATTTTGAAATGGAATATTTGTATCTGACAGTTAGTGTGAAACAGGCTATGATAAATCTGAAGAGAACTAGTGCAATAATAATGAAATGAGAAGAAAGTGTAAGGCCTAAATTTTTGTTAGTGCATGCATTAGACATTTGTCATGAACCATGACACTTGTCAGCATTTTTCTTTTGCCATTTGTTCAAAGCATCTAATGCTTTTAGCAAGACAAAAAACTTATTCTTGCATGTTCATTTTCTTGGCAACCAAGACAAGTTTTTGCTTGTTTCTTTTCCCTAGCAAATCGAGAGAGAAGTAGAATAAGTATGGATGATTTGGAATATTGGATGGCTGTAATGTTTAATTATGGTATTTTATTGCTTACCTTGGAATTAATGCTATTGATTGAAAGATTTTGAGTGAATCCTGACGATAGTTAGACAGACGGTACGCTAAACCTTAGAGTATGCCCTAGGGTCTGGAGGGGTCGTCATAAGGGTAAATTAGACAATATATTAAATGACACGATTTGTTTTAACCGAACCTCTCCCTCCCACTTTATATATAGTAAGATATTTGCCCTTTCATTTTTTCTTCTAAAAGTGACTTAGATATATTTTTTATCAAAATCATTTAATTTTGCTAGGGAAATAATCTATTCTTTTATTGTACCATGTCATGTGACAGAATCTAATTTTACTTGTAATTGTTAGGTTGATTGTATTGTATGAGAAAAAGTTGACATGTACATAATATATTGACCTACTAGTTAGTTAAATAGTGGCAGTCACTGTCACTTAAACCAGCTAGGTGTTAATAAGTGTTATCCAATATCAAAATATCAAAAAGGGAAAAAAATGAAAACAAATATTTCAACAAGTGACTCTATTTGCAGTGTTATTTAAAAAAATTACTACGGCACTTTTTTATGATATAATATATGTGGTAAAAAGATGATTATGAAAATAAAAAGGTAATTGAAACAATATACATGTACGTATACTAACCTCTCTTATATTTATATGCTTTTCCTAATTAATCTTACCTGTCAAAAAATCTATCACCTAAAGTACATCTTAATAAGTGCCCAATCCATTAGACAAATTCATTGAAAAACGTACTTGTGATGCAAACACAAATATTATTTAAAATAATCACATATCCAAATGCAATATTTGATACGATTTTCCTAATATATTATTGAACGCTTAATACTTTCTTGTAAGTAACCTCTCAAGAAAATTCTAAATAATTAGAAAAGTAAATAAGCGCTTGTTAAGAGGAGTTTAGGTGTTAAATTTGTTAAATTTTTTTATAAAAATATTAATAATTTGGAAAAGTATTTAAATACAATGGATGCAATAAATATGAATATTTGCATCTATATGGTACATTTAGTATAAGTGTATGAACGAGTAACTACTAAACATCCATTAAAAAAGTCCTCAATAAAGCTAATTTAAATTTCATAAGAAAATATTTTTTTTTTTTTTAGTGTAAGTAGGAGGTCTCGAACCCAAGACCTCTCACTTACACTACCCCTCCCATACCACCCAACCCATCCCTCCCCCCCTCATAAGAATTTGTATTTTGACAATTTAACATCGTTAATATAATTATTTACGTCATCATTTAATTTTGAAGATATATTTTTTTTGTTAATTTTGCTATAATTGTAGAGGGAGAGATTAGTTTACTTCATAGCAAGCATTCCTAGAGGATCTTGAAAACTGTGATGCCCAATCAACCTCCTCCTTTTCTGGAGACAAAATTAGGCATAAATGTGAGCACAAGTTAAAAAAAAAAAAAAATTGACCAACCTCTTTCTTCAAAATTATTCGCAGAAATATTTTACTCTTTTGTATGGATTTTGTCGGTTTTTTTGACATTTAGAAGCTGCTTTTCACAATAATTATTTAAAGTTTCTTCTTTATTAAGCCCAGAACTGTGTTTTAATGATGGTGACTAAAGCATGGGTAAATGTGTCCTTCAAGCTAAATTTCGCTTTGACAATAATTGTCATCCTTTAAGGTTTGTGATCCATTTCAAGTTAAATTTCGCTTTGGCAATATCAAACACCCTTTTCTCAGTCCATTTTGCGGAATATAATTCTAATTCATCCCAATAGCTCAGGGAAGTTTTATGGGGTGTGAATGTGATGAAAATGATTGGTGCCCCAAATGTGGTAGATTTCTTTCCAGTGCTGAAAGTGATTGATGTCAGTCAACCCAATGAAGCTGACTGGCATAGCAAGGACATGAAATATTTGTTTCTGGTGAGTCCTAATTTGAATTATCAAAAGTAATTAAACGATTATGAAAACTTAAACTGAAAATAGTAAGAGAAATTATGTGAGAAACTTTATGTGGTTGATTGGTTGTAGGTCGTAACTGGAATATGTTTCAGGGTTTATTTGTTGTAGGAACTGATACAATTGCAGAGTTGCTGCGCAATCTTGAAATGATGCGAAAAGCTACATCCGATATCAGGGAAGTTATTGGATTGGGAAAATTTGTTCAAGAATCAGACATTTCAAGGGTTCCTTACTTGTAGGCACTTGTTAAAGAGACCTTCCAGCTTCACCCTGCAGGCACTTTACTAGTTTGTCAAGCAGAGACTGATATAGAAATTGACCAGTATGTCTTGCCAAAAGATGCTTAGTTGCTCATTAATTTATGGGCTATTGGTAGGGACAAAAGCTTGTGGCCAAATCCTCACTCATTTCTACTAGCAAGATTCTTGGATAGTGAGATTGATGTAAAAGGCCAACATTTTGAGCTCCTTGCATTCGGTACCGAGAGAAGAATTTGCTTGGAACTGCCACTGGCTCATCGAATGGTGCATCTCATGTTGGCTTCTTTGCTTCATAACTTTGATTGGAAGCTTGAAGACGGGGATAAATCCAGAAAACATGGACATGTGTGAAAGGGTTGAACTTATTGTACAGAAGGCACTGCCCCTTAAAGCCATTCCTGTGGGAACCCGTGTGTAACTGTTGTTTTTCCGTTGTAGGGCAATCATCTATTGCTAGTTACAATCTATCATCAGGTCATCTAGTGGTAGGGCATAAAATTGTCCTAATAAGCATTGATGGATTACTAAAATCTTCTCTTTTAATCGGTCTACGTTTTTATACTCAATTGAGATTGAGAGTAAGCTGAGTACCATCTGTTGAAAAATTAGTTTGTAGTATGAAAATTGCTCATGACTGGTGACATGATCTTTCAATTTCATGTTTAGAAGTTTGATTTATGAAATTGAAGTTTAGAAGTTTGATTAATGAACAAGTTCAAAAAAAAAAGTTTGATTTGTGAATTTCCTATAAGATTCATTGGTACATTGATGTATCTTCTCAAGTTTATTTGTTCATTTATGGAACCAGTAAATTCATGTAATCGAAGTATTTAATTCATAAATGGATATTAAGTGAAGATACATTGATGTATTTTCTCAAATCCATTAGTTCAGGTATGAAACTATTCAATTCATAAATTTGATTAAGTGAATTCATGTATTTTTGCTCTTGTATTACCTATAAATAAGTAGTCTAACTTCTCTTGTGGCAACTTTTGCTTTAGGTATTTTAAATTTATAAAACCAACTTCTTGCATCCCTTTTTTGTGAAAATTAAACTTAAACTTGTTATAGACTAGTTTTTGTTTCCATTATATCCTAGAGGTAATTCGCCATCTCAACCAGTTAGTAAGATAATGGGGACAAATAACACCTGAAGGAGAGTGATTACACACCTTGAAAACTCTCTTGAATTCCCCAAAATTAGTTTAGGTTCTGTTTGATAAAACTAAATCTAAATTCTGAAATCTAAATATTGAAACAATTAATTTGCTGAATTTTAAGCACTGATAATAAATATATAAATGTCTGAATTTTAATAATTTTGCTGAATTTTAAGCACTGAAAATAAATATATGAATGTCTGAATTTTAATGCTAAATTTATTTACATTGTTTGGTAAATATTTATAACTGAATGCTTAATAAGTTTAATTTGACAATTTTGTTGTTATATCTTTTCATTCAAAAAAGAAATAGAACCTACAATGTAATTAGTTTAAAATTGTTAGATATGAAAATGAAAATATTTATTTTTAAATCAAATTAATATAAAAGATGAAATATATTATATGATGAGTATGGAATAGAAGTGAAAGTTATTAAAAAGGGAGAAGAGAGAAACAGAAAATCGCTAGATAGAAAATATCAGGTGGTATAATTAGTTAAGAATTTTGAATATAAGATAGAAAATATCAGGTTGTTTAATTAGATAAGAATTTTGAATATAATTAACAAACAATGGTAGATTTGGTAGATAAGATAGTTGAAATAATTCTATTGATTCTTATCAGAATTAAGTATTCAATTAGGATTCTTACGCTGAAAAAAATACACACATAATTCAGCACTGTTTAACAAGTTCAACAAATGGATTTTTATTTATCAAACACTCAAAACATCTGAATATCTGAAAAAGTTCAGTTTCAGCACTTTTTTATGCTATCAAACAGACCCTTAGTCGAGTTCTTGAAATTATTCTTGTAATAATAGGTTCCATATACTTGCTCTGTAGTAGGTTCCATATACTTGTAATCCCATATTCTCCAACACCATCAGCCGATATACCTAGCCACATGATATCTTTCACTTAGATTCAGTGTTCAAATGATATGTGAAACTCCTAAGTAGCTCTGTTTTGAAACTCGGACCGGACCGGCCGGTCGAACCGGGAACCGGCCAGGTAGCCGGTCCGAGTCATACTAAAAAACCGGAAATCTAAAACCCGGTCAAAGCCGGTCAAAAACCGGGTTTGACCGGGAAAAAACGGTTTTTCCGGTTCAACAGTAATTTTTTTATAAAAAAATTCAAACTTTATAATATTATGTTTTGCCCCCTTAAATTGTTAAAACTTATTGATATACCTCAAATATTTAATACTTTATAAATATTGTCCTAAAATTTGATGTTATTTTTCAATTAAATTCATAATTTTAATTCTAAACTTGTTAATATTTATTAAATAATATAAATTGCTACTTGATTGTTCTAATTTCTTTGTATTTTCTTGTTAAATATATTTGAAACATCAAATATATATGAATATACCTTTATTAATATCAATATATTATTAGATATTATATATATAATATTTTAATTTTTAAATAATTTTTATTTATGACGTCATCCGGTTCGACCCCTATCGACCTCCGGTCGAACCCATTGACCCCTGACCCCTGACCTTGACCGAGTCGCTATCCGGTCCGGTTCTGAAAACATAGCTAAGTAGAGAAGATGTTGAATCTTTTTAGGCGCTAAATCTACTAGAAATAATTATTTGTGGGACTGACAGCAAATCAAGATAATTTTTATGCTATTAAAATACTGGGATCGGGCAGCTAGAAGCTTAATTGGGCCTACTAAATTGATATTGGAGAACCAGATTTGGCCTCACAAAATTAACGAGTATCACCTCTACTTTCTGAACCCATGTGTTGGTTCCAAAATGTTAATTGACCACAAGTAGCTGAAGAAGCAAAGAAAAATTGGCCATGAAACATGCATCGAGCCTTTTCCCCTAGCCGGTACTACTAGTTTTTGTCATGTGTTGTAGCATTCAACTACTCAGATCCAATTTAATCCACATCAGGTCCAGAAAACTCTCTCTAGAGCCTTATCCAATTCATAATTTGATAACATCACACATGAATAGCAGAACCTTGGAATCAAGACACCCATAACCTAGGAGATTTGATAACATCTCCAGAGCCTTTTTTCCACACTTATAAACCTTGGACCTTAATCAAGCTAGGAATCAAGACACCCATAACCTCATTACAACTTGCCAAAGAAGTGTTTCAAACTCATAAGTGCAAGTTTACTCCATATTTTTCCTTGAGGTTGATGTAGAAAATCAACCAGCTTACTGTGCCAAAAAAAAAAGGAATGCTCTAATTTTCGGTAACATCTCAACTATGGACCATGGTTCAAAGACTCGGCCAAGTCCGAGATGACTCAGCCGAGTCGTCACCGTTTCGGATTTTTTCGATATGATACCGGGACGATACGATTTTTGAGATACTTGATTCGTCGAAAAATCGACCGAAACGTCACCGTGAAGAGTTGAAACGGACGAGCTACTCCGAATCAACTCAAATCCAACAAAAAATTTTTAGAAAAAAAAAGGAAAAGAAAAGGATAATAAAAGTGAAACCCGGGGCCATTGGAGTAACAACTACTGCTAGGGTCCAACACATGAGAAGGAGAAGTCAATATCAAAATCATTCACTGAAAAATAAAACAAAATTTCCAAAGTACTCATCATGTGAGAAAATGAGATAATATTATTCCAACTTCATTTATGTATCAAGTATATGTACCTTACTGAACATATACTTGATACATGAACATACCAATAATATGTCACTTTACTTTTCTTTCAAAAGCTATCACTTCCAACTTTTCTTTCAAAGGTGATAGAAAGAGTGAAAGAAGGAGGTATAGAGGAGAAGATGCCCAAAACTTCAGTGGATGAGAGGTGAAATTTGGCGATACTTTGTCTCTATCTCTTTTCTTATTTGGACGCTTTTACGGAAGCGAGATAGTACCTAGAAGAGTAGAAATCAATTCGAAGAACTGGGATTTGTGATTATCGGTCAAGCTTCTCTTTCCTAACGGAAATAGCTGGTCGTCAGCTTTAGTTGCAGCAGTGGCCCTTTCATTACCCTCCCTTGGTCTTTCCTTTGAAATAAGGACTTTTCCCGTGAGTCAGTAGGTATGAATTTATTTCTTTAAGTTTTTCTATACTTAAGAGTAGGTATGAATTAAAAATGCATGTGGATTAATTATAGCCCTTATGTAATGGGCCAAGGTTGGATTAATTATGTTGTGCCCAAAATAAAATTTAAAAATTTAGATTTATCTGGCTAATTTGTGTTGTTGGAATTTATTTTGGGCTAAACACAAGTTTAACACTGATCTTACATATAATTCAAAGTACATAATAAATTAGTCCAAATTCATTTAATATTTAGTGAAAATATTAAAATAATTGTTATATCTTTTAATATAAAATTTCTTGCTAGTAATTAATTTTATGAAATAACTATTAGTAGAAATTTCATCTTTGTTGACTTTAGCTATAATAGTAATTAATTATACTTATAATCATAACGGTGCAGCTATTTGAATAATTTTTTAAAATGCAATAATAATTTTAATAAACATTTAAAATTTTGAAGTTCTTTTAATAAATGAACAAATGATTATTATAGTAGGTTTATATTAGAGATAAGATTTTTAACTTACTCATATAATAGAAATAAATTATTACTGTTATAAAATGTCTTAAACTACTTGTTGTATTTTTTCATATATCTTTAATTATTTTGTGATGAATTAATCATTTATATTGATATGTGTAACAGTTACAATAACGGGCAAGGATATTTGTTGGGAATATAGTAACCCCGTGGGTGAAAATAGAAAAATTGTGAAATGCAATTATTGTCAAAAAGTAATGCATGATGGCATTACAAGGTTGAAAGAACATGTCGGTCATGTCATAGGACAAGTTGAAACTTGTTCAAGGTTACCAAGAGAAGTTACAAATGTAATAAAAACGCATCTAAAGGCTGCTAAGGTTCAAAAACTACAATAAAAAAGAAAAAAAAATATTGAACTTTCTGCAACAAGAAAATACGTATAATAATTTCAACATAGTTGGCGACGAGGAGGACGCAAACGTTTTTTAAATTGATGAAGAAAAAAGGATGGGGTTGCAAAAAAACAGATGAAGCAAGCAATTAGAGAGAGCCAATACTTGCAATTTTTAGATGAACAATGATGGCATTCAGTATCTGGGAATCGACCTTCTATGTTTATGTCAAGTATTATTTATAAGCTAAAATATTA